ATTAACCTCTCTAAGGGGAACGATGGTGGATCAGGTAAGAAATGGGACATAGTGAGTCAAAGTTGGAATAAGGTCAATGCGCTCTGGTGGAGCCACCACCCCAATCCTTCCCATGGGTGGGGGTTGAAAAAGAAAGTAGCACCATATATCATGAGCCACCCACTCTAACATGTTTATGTAGTCATAGAGTAAAACGTATTCATGTCACAATTTCTTAAAATATGAATTGTCAATACCATACTTAGCTTAGATAACTTAAACTGAGAGATCAATAGCTGTATAATTTTTATTGGCCCCGACAATTGTGCATTCAAGCAAAGTTGTATAGTTGCCTCACCTTTATTTCCCTACGTGGTTCCACTGTCAATAGTCACAACCTCACCGCCAGGCCTTGGCTAGCCTCTGGCTTTTCTGCCTTCTGCCTTCTAGATTCACAGGTCCTTCCCTATTTGTGTCTCCAGCTTCTCATTTCAGATGCACTTGCCCCTCCTTTTAGGATGGTCCTGTTCAGCTCCCCTGTTCCCCACACCAGGCTGTGATGCTGCAAATCTACCTCCCTTACAAATGCAAGCTCCATCAGGACAGGCCTCATGTCTGTCTTGTCCCATTGCATGTTTCTGATGTTTAGAACTGCACCAGCACATGGTAGCTCTCAATAGAGGTATTTGCCTAATAAATAAATGAGTGATGACTGACTGAATCAGATTAGAATTTAAAGACATTGTCTCAGTTTCTTACAATTCAAAAGCTATGCTTCCCCAATATACTGGCAAAGTGCTTAAGACCCTATAGAACCCATGTATTGAGTTTTCAAGACTGATGTGGCCTGATCTTGCAGAGAGATTTCCTACACCATTGCAACAAGTGGTTTGGTGATGGAGACCACCGAACATTGCTGGACCACAGGTCCAAGGACACAGCCCGGTGAACTATGCTGAAATATCCCCACTCTTCAGCCTCCCTGGAGAACCTCATTCTGATAAGCCCTTGCTAGTCAACATGTCCGCATTTCTGCACACCAGCCAGTGATTCACAGCGAGAGAACCGTTTCTTCCTCTCTGTTTGAATCCCTACTGATTCTGTATTTGAGGAGGAATCTAAGTGCTTCCCAAATACCAAATGTTCCATATGGTAGTGCAATTGCCATTCTCACTCCCGCAACATTGCGCCTGTCTACCTACACTCACAAGGCACCTCGCTGGAGTTTGGCAGAACATCATGAACTCCTTTTCTGACCTATATTTGCTGACACATTTGTTGTTGCCCCTCCCTTTACAAAATTATTAATTTTGTTGAAACAACATATATATTGGACAAATACAAGTTTTATTTGCTTACTCATCATCGTAATCATTTAGAGGAGAATATTTATGACCCATTAAAGGGGAATTCTTAAGCTAAATTGTCTTAATAAGGAATTCAGATGTTCTTCTTTTACTGAAAAATACAGAGCTGTTCAAACAAACATGTGGGCCAAAACAATGCAGCATCGACACACACAAGAGTCCCAGAGTGTCTAGTGAAAAACATTAGCTGAAGCCAGACAACTCATCTACTGTTAGTCTTCTGAACACCAAGTAATTCTTTGACCCTTTTTCCTTCAACTTTTCAAGCTTATGATGCAGCTAAAGGTCAAGGGACTTACAACCCCAGTTTTCCCCTTTACGTAGGATAAAGCATGTTTCCTAAGAGCTGGGGGTCTCCCATGCTATTTTCTCTTTCACGTATTTAGTGAAAGGAAGCTCATGCAGTTATGGGGCGGGGAAATGAGCCTACCACAGTTTTTTTAATCCACTCATCTGCTGATGGGCACTTATGCTATTTCCAAATCTTAGTATTGTAAATTGTACTCCTATGAACACAGGGGTGCATATATCTTTTCTGATTGGTGTTTCTTATTTCTTGGGATATATTCCTAGAAGTGGGACTACTGGGTCAAATGGGAGTTCCATTTTTAATTTTTTGAGGAAACTCCACACTGTTTCTCACAGTGACTGCACCAGTGTACATTCCCACCAGCAGTGCACGAGGGTTCCTTTTTAGATCTACACAATGGAATACTAAGCTGCTGTAAAAAAGAAGGAACTCTTACCATTTGCAACAGCATGGAAGGACCTAGAGAGCATTATGCTAAGTGAAATAAGCCAGTCGGAAAAAGATAAATATCACATGATCTCACTCATTTGTGGAATATAATGAGCAACATAAACTGATGAACAAAAATAGATCCAGAGACGGAGAAGCATCGAACAGATCATCCAACCTCAGAGGGAAGGGGGGTGGGTAAGAGATTAACCAAAGGACTTGTATGCATGCATATAAACATAACCCATGGACACAGACAGTAGGGGGCTGAGGGCAGGTGCTGGGGGGTGGGAACAGCCTGGGAGAGGCCAATGGGGGAAAAAGGAGACTTATGTAATACTTTAAACAATAAAGAATTTAAATTTTAAAAAAATAATAAAAAAGAAAGATGAGCTTGGTAGGGCAGCTCACATATGGAGCTGGACAGTTAGACTCGGCAGGCGTAGCTCGAAGAGGCCCAAAGCTTGCCTGAGCCCAGGTGCTGGCCGCACCTCAGGAGCAAGGTCTGTAACCAGGGCCCCACTGGCCGGATGACAGACACCTCTGTGAGCACTGGGTCTCTGACTTGCAGCCTTAGGGCAGGCCGTGTATCCAAGACTGGGATTACTCCGGTTATCCAAATTGAAGGCATTTGGAAAGATACTAAAAAGTATTTTTTAATTGACATTATACTATAGTCAGGGTCATACTTTGTTTTTGTTTTTTTGTTTGTTTGTTTGTTTGCTTCTGTCATGACCATTTTCTCATATCATTAGATATTCTTTCGAAATAGGATTTATAATGATGGTCAATATTTCACATATATTTGCCACACCCTATGAAATGAGTACTATTGTTATCTAAATTTTATAAATTTAGACATTGAGATGGAAAGTTAACTTGCTGGGCATCACATCTCAAAAAAGGAGCTGGGCTGGAATTTGAGCCCAGAAAGTCTGGAGCCTGGATCTACCCACTGTGGTTCCCAGCCTCTGCTCAATACAGTGCTGCCACAGTTATATCTAATCATGCTCCCAACATTGGACAGATACGTGTCTGTATGTGTGTGTGCATGTGTGTGTACACACATATGTATGCATAGAGATATATACTCATATGTGTATGTATATACACACCCACATACACATATTTTAACTAATGAGCATACAACTTCAGATCTATGTTTAATATAGGCTGTTTATTAAATACCTTTTTATTCTTGTTAAAGAAAGAAAAACTATGTTTTCCAGTGAAAAATTATCGCTATCTAGTAATCTCATGGTCATCTAAAAATACTTGGCTGTAAAAGGAGAAAAACTTAAAATTCCCTAGGACCTATCCATACCTTCTTGATTTAGTATTATTTCTCAAATGTCAAAAACTGGTAATGTACACATGTTGCTATCTACAGCAGGAAGGTTCTTAAAAACGGTATGATTTATTAATAAATGCCCTCCCCTGAAAACCATGGGGATCCCATCTCTCATATTCAATTGGCAATGACTTTTTTTGTTTTCAAAATTCTCCATACTGATACAATTGTATGCATAGGCACTCTCATACACTGCCCCTGGAAAAAGAAACTAATATGACTTTATTGGAAAGGAATCTAGTAGCAAGTAGCAAACATTTTAAAACTGAAAAACTCTTAAATTCAGCAATTTACTGCTAAGGAAGTATCCTAAGGAAGCTACGAATACTGGCAATTAATATCCTATCTAATAAAAGGGTAATATGCAAATAGACTGAACAGCAGAACAACCAAACAGCCAATCAAAGCATAATATGTTAATGATATGCTAAGGCTGCTCAACCACTCACTATGACGTGCACTGACCACCAGGGGCAAACAGTCAACTGGTCGACAAGTCGCTATGATGTGCACTGAACCCCAGAGGGCAGATGCTCTGACCGGTAGTTAGCTTGCTGCTGGGGTCCAGCCAAACTGGGACTGAGCAAGATGGGCCGGACATGCCCTGGAGCCCTCCCGCAGTCCCTCCCTGGCCCTGATCATGCACCAGTGGGGTTTCCTCAGCTTGGCCTGTGCCCTCTCACAATCCAGGACCTCTCAGGGGATGTTGGAGAGCCAGTTTCAGCCCAATCCTGCAAGCCACTCCCCTTGGGAGGGCACCAGACGCAGGGCTCATGGCTGGTGAGCGCTGGGAGTCTCTCCAGATCGGGACCGATTGGGCACGAGCCTGCAGCAGGCACAGTAGGGCCGGGATGAGCAGGAGCGGCAGGTAGGAGCTGCAGGCGGCACCGGATTGAGGGTTTTGGCCCGTTCCCTGCAGGCCACCCAGAGGGACCCCACCCATGCATGAATTCATGCACCGGGCCTCTAGTAAAGCTGTAAGAGCATTACTGGTAGCATAAGAGAGAAAAAAAATTAGAAGGAAATTAAATGTCCAGCTAGAGAGGATCAATTAAATGTATTGTAGGATATGCATTCAATGGTATGCTTTATAATCATTAAAAATATTGTTGCAGATAAATATGTTGCTATGAAAATATGTTCATTATTACATTAAGAGGAATAAAAATGTTAGATGAAAGGTGTTAGAATATATTATAATGTTCCCTACTACCATCTGATGGTAGTTTCTCTAGCTGAATTTATAAACACCATCATCCAAATCATCCCCTTCTTATCAATGTCTTGGCATCCACCTTAATCAGTGATTTCAACATACATGGAAGTTATTTTCTTTCCCATAAGCAAGGAGGGTTCATTTTTATAAAAGAGACAAAAAATAAAGAGATAGAGAATATGTGAATCTAGAGATTATGTTTATGTTGTGTGTTGGTGTGTGTGTGTGTCTATGTATGTGTAGGAGAATGG